TTTTATTTTATTTTATTTTATTTTTTTCCCCCAGGATTGTAAGCTTTTCTTGTGTATTTTCTGGCACCAGCCCTGCATCATTCTGAGGCTAGGGAGGTGATAATATTAATAATGAAAAAGAAGACCATAAGTAATAAATAAAGCCTGATTTATTTTTTTTTCTGGGGTTTTGTCCTGTGGACAGATTCTCTGGTGAGTGGTAAATACTGTGATCTGATTGTCACTGAAACTCCTCTGCCTCTGCAATAGTCTCTGAATTATACTCTGGGACCCTGGGGACGAGGAGTGCATCCTTCTTCCTCTCTGTTCACCAGTCTGCACAAAATACCTAGAAAATACTGATGCACTGTCAAGTCTGCTTTGAATGAGCCAACTGATCCGTGTGGTGTTTGGGAGGATGAACACAGGAGCAGACAGTGGTTGTCTGCATACACAATGTTTTCCCTTGGAGCGACCTGTTACAGAAAGGCATGTTGTTGAATTGGGGATAATAACCTCAGCACTGACCCCAGCTTCTCTGCTCGCTCCCTCCTGAAGAGAGGACTGATCCCTTGAATTATCAGGCAGAAGCAGAAATAAGGAGTCTGTGGGTATTGGTACTATGGCTCTGGTACTAAGTATGCAGTGTTTAGGGTTTCTGTTTGGGGTGTTGCTGTGTTAGACTAAAGCTGAAGTGTTGTCTCTCAAGCAGGGGTGCACATGTTGAGGTCCCTTCACAGATACCAAGGATCAGGAATTGCTGAGCAGCCTCTGGGAAGGGTGGACCAGTCCTGCAAGGTGTGTGCTCATACAGGGCTAACGCAGTCACCTTGTGCCATGGGCCTGACTGATACAGGTCAAAGGTGTGAAATGTTTTCTTTTGGCAATACCTTCAATGTTAACAGTGCTGTAAGGGCTGTGGGTGGTAATATAATTTTTACCACACTGAAAAAAAATCAGCCCCTTTGTTTGTAGCACCCCAAGGAGGCCCAGAGCAAGGTGGTGGAACGAGCTGGTTCATCTGGCCTTTCCCAACTCATTCAGCAGCTTGGCTTGTAGTCTGCTGGGCTACACTCACATGCTGAAGCTTCATTTTAATGCAGCATTTACTCAGGAAACAAAGCACTGCAGAGGACTGACATTGGTTGCATCAAAAGAAGTGTGATGATCTTTAAGGTCCCTTCCAACCCAAACCATTCTGTGATGCTGAGATCAACTTGTTTTACCTTGGGCTGGGCTTTGTTATCATAAGGGAGGCTCACACACCTGTTGTGATCCAGTGACTCACTGTACCTTAAGTTCTCGTCAGGACTAGTGAACAAGTAGTCCTGCGATAGACCATTTATTGTTTATTACATCAAAGGATGAGCACATGCAGTACATGTCAGATATGGATTAAGTCTCTGTCTCTAAAGAATTCTTTTTTTAAAGAACAGGTGGAGTTAAGGAAAGTTCTGATTTTGAGAAGATGCTCCTTGTGGACAGTGAAAGGCACCACTGTGTACGTATCACAGCCATCTGTGAAAGACAACAGCTGATCTTCCACAGCTGGCAGTGTTGCAGGACTGTCACCTATTTATTGCATCTTTAGGGTGAAGGCTGTAGTACAAACTCCCTTTCTAAAAAGCAGCAGGCTCAGATTTATTTTACTCAATAGCTTTTCTGTGCAAAAGAAAAGGTAACCCCTCTGCTACCAGTGAAGATGAGGAATTAAGTGAAATCTACTTCATCTTGCAGTGACTTGATTCACTTTTGTGTGTTACATTCTCTCCAGGAGATTCTATACTTGCCCCTCTCCCCTCACCATGTACACTTTCACTTTGTCAAATATATCCAGCAGATTTTAAACACTTTATTTAATAAAAGTTAAACATACAAAACTGAAATTAACACACTTTGTATTCATAAAAATCACCTTCTCCCATTATAGGGAGAACATTTTTTTATGTATGGATTCTAAACTACCAGTTGTAGAGTTTAGCTTGAGTTGTGACTCAGGTAACTGATGGACATTTCCACCAATCAGTGCATCAACAATTGCTGACAGGACCTGATCTAGTTAACAAATTACAAAATGAGCTACATTAACATAATATACAGGGAAATAATGGTCAGGGTTAATGGACAAGAAACACCTTTAATTATTTAATGGGGGAAACAGCTGATGTACTCCTGTCCATTAACTCAGCCCTAGATTTTACAAAAATAATATCTACATTGTATACAGGGCTACCCATTAACTTCTTTAAACACATTACGGGTTCAGAGATGGCACCACGACCGTAAGTGAGAGACAAGTAACAGAGGAAAGCAAATCACATAAAATACAAGAAAGCAAGAGCTTTTACACGTGGTTTCCTGAATAAAATTGACAGGGCTCAGCAGCACTGTAATACAGCTGAAGTTACAGTGAACTCTAGGGCCAGTCAGTTACTGAAGGACAAACTCCAGACTAACCTTCACTCGCTCACAACGGAGTGGGATCCAGGCATTCATACATGCAGTGCTGCAGCAGGCCCAGACACCAGCCGTTACCGTGTGTCCCAGGTCTGTGCCCAGACCATCAAACCTACAAGATCTACAAGAGGGGATATGGTGGCTCCTTTCCAAAGCACAACCTTTTATGTTCTCCAACCCTCTGATCCTTGGGAAGGGGTGGGGTGCATATTTTTAAGTACCAGTCTGTACTTTGAAACTGGAGTCTGAATACCTTGTCCTATGGTTTTATGGTTCCTTTCAATAACCATCCAATAACCTCCTATGAAAATCTGATGAGTATTTTAAAAGAAAAAACAAAACAAAAACCAACAAACAGTATCTTCTCTGCTCACCTTCTAGCACAGAGAATTCAGACTGGAATTAGAGTCAAATTTATTGTTCCTAGCACATGAATCATCATTAGTAGTAAAGATCTTATTGGCCCTGTTCTGCCCTCATTTACAGCTGTACAAATAGCTCCTCAATGGGTTGATAAGGGAGCAATTTAGAACTTCTTTAGCAATTCCAGCTATGATGAAGCCCAGCTCTCTCCCAGAGCTGCAGCACCTCTGTAATGCTGAGCTTGTCACTGAGACAGCAGACAGCACTGTGACTACAGAAACAAGGGAGGCTGTTAAGGTGCCATTTTTATACCACCACTTTTCTTAAGGAAAAAAACCCACTTCACTACTGGTATGAATGGAAGATTCCAGAGATGAAAGCTGCAGATAAACTACTGCTTTCAGAGTTAACAGGTAACAGCAGTACATGAAAGCATTTACCTGCAGAATGTATTTAAATGCAACTACAGAGAGTTTAATGATCAGGGAGGTCAAATCAATAACTGGAGATTAAGGCTCATATCTGCTGAAGCCGAAGTGATGGTGACAAAAAAGGACTACTTGCTATGTGCCAACAAATAATTTACTTTTAGAAAAATATAATGATAAAAAGATAAGTGTAAAGCCCTGCAGAGATGAAGTTCCGCCTTTTTCCCCTGTTACTGAGGCATCAAATGCCTGACATTGTATTTAGAGGTATCTTGATACTGTGTCATAGGTTTGTCTGCAATTCCACATGTTCCAACTCCAACCTTGCCAGTTACACTCTCAGGGGAAGCAAAAATACTCCTCTTTACCTGCAGATGAAACAGAAAACACCATTTCTGAATAAGTGCTAACTGGCTCTTAAAGAAACAAGCAATCATTACCTTTTGAAGTATTTCAATATTCTCAACTCCTTATATAGAGAGGCATGGTTTCTAAAGGCTCCCTCATCCGTGACCTCAGCAAGTGAGACAACAGAGCCAGGAACTTCTAAGTACTGGATGTGGTCATGGCACTCAGGACCTTGGGTCAGGCCAATAATGAGTAAAATTCACCTCTTACAAGATGATCTCTAATAATTGTTCATAAGGAAGACTGATGTTTCCCTGCTATGTCCAGCAGCTCTTGGTCAAGCCATGATAAAAATAAACTAAGGCTTTAAAACATCCTTGCTACCTTTTTTGCACGATGCTTGCTATCCAGGGCAGTTACTTTGCACTCCATCTGCCAGGTCATAAACACGGCAACAAGTCAGGCTTGGAGATTGAGACGGGCGCTCAGGTTCCCAGCTCCAACAAACACTACATGGCCACTGACAGTGAGCCCAGCTCGCCAAGCTAAGTGCGAGCTCAGCCTCCTCCAGAACCATCCAGTACAAAAGCAGGCCTTTCAAGTGTACAAAATACCAAACTGCACACTTCAGAAGCCCAGAGATTAACCCCTTTTTAAAAAACACCTCCTCTGTCCCTCCCTCCCAAAATACTGCATAAATTCTATGCCCTATTGTTACTCACATACTGACAAAACTAAACCAACCTGGCCTTTCTTGTTTTTAGAATAGGCTCTGTTGTTGAACTGTTGCCACTTGACTTTCTGGTCCTCTCGTTCCTGTTCAAGTTCTTTAATTCTCTGAGCTTTTTTCAAAGCTTTCTTCTTTTTATACTCTCGTTGCTGGGCTATCATCTCTTTTCTGGAGAGAAGGAAAAAAGACATTTTATGTTTGTGCCTGTTCCTGTAAGAAACTAAAACCCCTGTAAGACAGACATGCACAATAGTTTTCCATAAGTGACAGAAAACAAAGCTTGTAAGTATTTTCCACTTCCAGAAAAAATAAAACAAAATAAAATAAATTCTTTCCATGCATAAGCATTACATTGCTTGCTTATATAATCAGGCATAAGAACCACCACCACCACCTGATTAAGACCAAGCCTAACACAGCCGAGTAAAACAAAGTCTATCATGTTATCAGGATACGTCACACACACAATACCAGCAACAATAATCTACCAAACTTTATCTGCTAGATTGATTTAAGATCCTTTTTCAAGCAAACATGTGAAGATATTAAAGATATATAAAATTTCAAAAAGAGATACTATTGCATTAACCAATTTTTATAGCTGTTGGGGGAAAAAAAAACCAAAAGAGACCAAAACAAAACCCCCAAACCCAACCAAACCAAAGAACACACACACACCAAAGCAGCTGTCAGACTTTTGCCTGTGTGTTACTTACTTGGACATGGGTTTGTTGCCACTGTCCTCTTTTGCTTTTCTTCCCTCTTCCACAGGCTTGAGGTTGAACAGAGGTGTAACTTCAGCATTGCCATAGCCAGCAAATGTGACTGCAGCTGTTCCATTCTCCTCATCTATTTCTTCAATCTCAGCTTCATAGCACCTGTAAAGATATCATGGCTGTAAGCATGTGAGTAAAGCTTTAATACTCAGCCCTTCAACACCTACACTGTTAGCCAGCTAATGGCGTTAAGTATAAAATTTGCAAGTATCGGCCTGCATTTTCAGGGACAATACACAAATCAAACCTAAAGATTATTTTCTTAAGGTCAAAAGGACACAGGTACAAGAACTGGAATCTGCTGTATGTGACCTTTAGCATCAACAGGCAATGGGCTCACAGTTAGCAAAACTAATGATTAATGCTGGGGCCAATCTCATCAGAAATCCTGATCTTGTTTCTATTTCTGGCAGGTCATGGGATTAAGGAAAAAAGACCCAAGAAAATACTGCTTTCACAAAGCACAGCTTTCACCCAATTCACTGAGGAGTTCTGGAAAATGTTGGCTCACAAGAGCAAAGCTTTCACTCATTTTTTTCTCCATATGAAAAAGAATTAAGAAAAACTGAGGCTTTCAAAATATTCCCCCTTAAACACTTAAAAAGTTAAAAGATTTCTTATTGATTTAAAATAATAATTTTGACATTTTAGCAGAAATCAGTGTGTCTCATATACATAAATACGAAATATTTTGGTGAACCACACTGACCTCCTAAGAGGAAAAAAAGACAAGTGACATTTCCAAAACTATTTAAAATAATTGAGTCTAAATTCAGATCAAGAGGATACATCTAAAGCAAACAGAGGGATAAAATGGAATGTTTAATAGACAACATTCCAGTTAACATTTACTAAGTTAATTTCTTGTGCGATTTTAGTGGGCCAGCAATATCTTGAGTTGAGCTAGATGAAAATACATGGAAACACAAACTTAATGAGGTAAAAAAAATAATCTTTGGCACGCTCTTAATGAAACTTTGGTCACTTAAAAAATGTTGTAACAGAAGCAGGGGATTGAAAAAAAATAAAGCAATATAATTAAAGTCGAATAATATTCACTTCAGTGGACACTCTTCCCCAAGCTCTGATCCACTGGCCCAGTGATGAGAGCAAGAAAAATAACCCAGGACAGCAAGATTCAATTTTCAAGTTCGTACACAAAAACATTTTACTCAATAATCTGTAACAGAAACATTGTTCACTTTTAGGTTTGTTTGCTACCTAAGACATCAAACACCTACGCCACAATCCCTATGTGGTTACTACATTGTTAACAGAACCACATTTATTGAACAACAGAGCTTCTCTCTAATTGATAATGATTGGGATGTTAGTCCTGCATAAATAGTAATCTTTTAAAAGCTGCCACAGCTGTACATTTTGCAGTATGAAAAGTAGTTTTAAAATGTTTAATTCAAAGATCATGCAGTCAGAATGAACTGCTTGGGTTCCCAGAACTTCAATACATACAGGCATTAGTACATACACACATCTCCGTTAGTAATGGAGACTAAATCCAAAAGGTTGTTCACATTACATTACACAGCTAGTCATTTCATAGCCAAAAAACAACATTTCCAATTAAAAATTAATTTCAGATTAGTGGCACAGAGATAGAGCAATGCTTTTTCTTGATAGCAATCAATTACATATATATGAATGCAGTAACAAATTATGAATTACACATCCTGAAGCCTTCCTGAAAGACTGCTCTGACAGATCAATTCATGAAAGTCTGCCATTTATTACATTAGCAAATGGTAATTTACCAAAGCCACCCTACTGTTATAAGATTAAGGACAAACGGGGCATTTCCACAAAATGACCCCACATATCTCTGCTTTTTATCTAAAATACTGACCTTTTATAAAGAGAGTACAAGGTAGCTAATATCACGTTTCTTTCCTTATTTCTTTTTGCTTTTAGGGGCAGTTCAAACTCAATGAAAGTCTCTTACCATTGAACTAGTTCATGTAACTGTTAGAGAAGTTTCTACACTTACTGTCCATCCTCACTCCATATCGCCATACACCTATCCCCAACCTTCCATGAGTGGCTTGGCAGAGCAGAAGCAGAACTGTCAGAACTTGCAAGAGTTTCCGAAGGTTGTGTTGAAAGGAGATCTTTGGTTAATTCTATGACTTCCTATAAAAGACAAAAAAGCCACAAAGAATAATTTTTCAACTCTGTTACTATGGATATTTTCACCCCAAGCTTACTGGTTTGGTTGGTTTTTTTGAAGCTACTGTGTTAAATTCATAGCTGACAAAGTGAACCAAGTTTGTTTTGTTTTGTTTTTTAATCACTTAACTAAACACACTTATTGCTGTTGTAGATAAAAAGATGCAAGGTCCTCACAGTATTGCAGTAAAGCTGCCCATGCCCTCCTCAAAATTTCAAAAAGTAGCCTATTGTTTTTATAGCATTTCTTTCCAGATTGTTTATCCATAGGCACAAAGACGCAGCTAGACAGTAAAAAAACAAAGAGAAAATGAACAGTGTGACTCTGTACACGTTGCTGCATGTGATGTTATACAAAAAAATAAAATCACACAGCATGTGACAGAGTAAGTATTCAGCAGGACAGACACTGAAGACAAAACATGAAAGGACCTAACACTTCTGTTCTCTCCCTGACTGACAGTTTCTTCCATCCCTTCCCATTTGGGACTGGCTGGCTATATTATATATAGTAATCTTTAAACCACACAGCTGCAAGTATAATAGCAGCCTTTTTAAGTGATGAAACATTTTGCAGTTTACTCAAAAAAATATGGATTGGCTAAACTGAAGCACCCATAGCCAGGGTAGAAGAGTGTCTTCCAAGAGTGCTGCTCTGCACAGACCTCTTGTTTATAGAGAGCATTCAGGTACATACTAAAGCAAATTATTTCCTTAAGTCATTTTCATGTGTTTGTTTTGCTTTAAATTCCCTGACCTTAAGATTTCAGGTCAGGTCTTCCCTTGCTAATCCAACAAGACAGATAACAAAATAATAAATTTTTCCAGTTCCTTTAAATATTATTCATTCCCAGACTGGAGCATGCAAAAGCCCCTCCCTGACTCCCCGTCAATGTTACATTCCTATTCTGCAAAATCAAGACCACTGCTTTTCACTCCTACTAAAAAGGAGCCAGCACCTACAAGGTCTTTTAAACTTCCTGTATAAGGCAAACCAACTCCGCAGTTCAAGAAGAAAAATTCTTCAGTTCTTTGAGTATCTCAGCATGAGCCATTGCCACCCCGCTCCTAACAGTAAATACTTAAATTAGGAGAGGGTGACACAGAAAAAATGTTTAACTGAAGCACAGTGGAGCCTGAACTTTTATCCCAGTTTCAAATCCTAGTTCAGCTGTGGGCACACACAGACTAGCTCAGGAAAAAGCCGTAAAGAAGGTGAACAATGAAGAACCTAAAAGATCGTAAGTAGTTCCCAAATAAGAAGTTACTACAATATAAACTTACATGCATTTTTACCTGGTAAACTATAAAACTGGCAGGAACAGCCTAACAGTTTGTTCCTGTTGCAGCCATTAGTGTCAGAATTTCCAACACCTTCCCAACAAAAGTTCTGCTCTTTGTTTTAGAGGAGCTGCTGGTTAACAAGTGCAACAGTAAGCACAATCAATAGCAACTGCAAGCACAGAAACAGGCTTACAATTAATTCTACTGCTGTGGTCTCCATTTTTCATAACAACATAGCTGAACCAGGACAGATTTTGATTATCAAGTTACCTAATTGGGTGTGCTCCATAGAATATACAGCATTAGCCTAATTTTCCCACCCAGATTCAAAATCTTAAAGTACTCAACATATAGCTACCTATATTCTACAAATCCGAGAGGCATCATGGTTCGAAATAGGTTCCTTATCTCAGCAGGCCAAATACATCAGGCACCAGCTACCGGAAAGTGAGTGTTTCAGCTACCAGTAATATGAACCTGTTGGATTACTCCTGCCACATTCATAAATGTTTTACTGTAAAACTCAAATGTGAATCGTTTCAGACAAGTCTATCAAGGACTCTTTGAATCTGACAGTCACTTACACACCTGGCTTTAAATAGCAAACTTCTGTTAAAAATCTTCATCTGATATCCACGTATCACAGTGCTAAGCACACAAGGCAGAAACATTAGTTTTACTGCAACCCGTGAGATAGCTCTGAAGAGGTCTTTAACAGAATAGCTCATTCTGGAAACTTCTGAGCACAATTTAGACTACCATAGCAGCTCAGTACAGCCAAATGGGTTGAACACCACGGCCTGCTGCCACATCCCCGTGACACGAAGGTGTGACCCACAGCAAATACCAGTTACAGTTTGACAAGACTTTTCCTGACCAACTGGTCCAGAACGCAACACCCACAGGCATCATCTCTAGTTACAGAAGATGACAGCTGCCATCAACTCTACTTGATACAAAAGGTAAGGGCAGTCCTTGGGTGCACAGACACCATCCTAGGAGTGCTTCAGTGAAACAAAATGTGAAAAGCAAAGTATTTATAAAAATTCCTTCTGATATTTATTTTAATCTTGTTACTCATGAATAAGTCGAGTATACAAAATGCAGTAGTGCATCACTATTTATGATAGAAAACAATGTTTCAATTACATTGTAACAGTATTTTTGATCTAATTTGAAAGCTATTTATTTGGGACACTGAAGCATCAAACCCATTTTGACATGTTAGGTTGGCATATATTAAGTCTGTAAAACATTATGTCATTGTCAAGGTGGAACATATGGATAGCAAACCTTTTGGGGACGAAAGTGTAAAGATCTTCCCCATTCTGTGCAGAAAGCTTTTATTAAAAAGTTTGCAAGTTGTCCTTTCACATCAATGATCTCTGCATATCAAAGCCGAGGTCGTGTTGGTATCGGAAATATCATCCCATACGGGTTTTGCTGTGCATTTTAAAAAATATAAAAATATACACATGCTTTTAACGGTGTACAACGAAGGACATTTAGATGATCTATAAAGTGCCCTGTGGGCACAAAGCCTTTATAATTTAAAAGGAATTCTAAAGATCGCTGATTTGAGGCACTACTCATACTTTGATTGAGGTATCACTTTTATTGCTGTTACTGCCATACAGAATCGTGGTTACTGAACCTTGTACTGGGCAGTTTGATACATTTTTAGATCTGAGAGCTAAAGCAATCTACAACAGAAATGAAGCAGCATCTTGCACTCTCACAAATTTGATCAGTGCAGCTGGGTTTGGTTTTTGTGTGCCTTTATATGTACAAGGATCTAGAAGACCACTTACCAACTTAAAATTAGGGTGATGGTCTTCCTGTCACCAAACAAGACCCTAAGGACCAGAAGTGGTTTTTAGCTCGTAAGAATATGGTATGGTCTCAAATGTTTAAAAAAACTGCAGGTGGCAAATGAAGAACACAGCTCTTTTCCTTTCTTATAGAAAAACCTTAACGCAATCAAGGCTTAGATATACAAGGAATACAGAACTACACTCTAAAGCTTTTATCGTTGCAAATGCATGCAATGAATAAACAGATTCTGGATCAAATTATTTGACAACTCAAAAATAAGCAGAAAGGCACGGAAGAAAGCTCAACCATTAGGCTTTAACATAGTAAAGACCACAACAAATAATTACTTTATGAGAAATGCGTTAAAAAATAAAGAAAAAGATATAGTAAAGACAGCACTGGCATCAATTGAGCTGAAGTTTTTAGCAGAAGAGTTTGCTATAAAAACTAGTACATCTTTTCTACTAATCTACAAGACAGGTTTAAAACAGGCCACACCTCAGGATTTTTCAAACCAACTTTACCATAATTGTATCAAATTATGTGAAAAGAAAGTAATAAACCCACCAAATATATGTTTTTGCTGTAATATAAATACTTAGGGAAGATGAAACACTTGCTAGAGACCCTAAAGTTTCAGCTACTCAACCCCTCAAGCTCTCACCTGTAAGTCTTTCTTCAGTTTTAGTAAATCTTCATTTTCTGCATTCCCAGACAAGGCAGCCTCCACTTGCTGAAGCTGAGCCTTGTAGCTAGCTAACTGCTTAGCGAGGTCTTCTGACATCTGCAAGAAGCATACACACACACCCCACATCAAAACAACGGGCTTGTTGCTGTTTAATCACATCTTGTGGCGCAAGTAAAGTGAAACTGGCAAACAAGTAACACAAAAAACTATTACTAAAGTATTAAAACCACAACTCTCCGAGCTTTAGTACAACCCTATTTGACCACAGACAACCACTCACCTTATCTTTTGTACTGTCCAGCTATTCCCAAGCGATTCCTAAAAGAAAAAGCTCAACCACGTGCCTGTGTGTGCACAGGGAAAACGTGGAACTCACAGTAAGAAACCAGCGGCGTCCTTGGGCAGCCTCGCAATTACCCAAATCTACAGAAAATACCGCGCACCGCCGTTTTTCCCCTCTGTTTGA